AGATTTGTTTTTTTTTCAATTTTTCGATAGTTCATTTTTTATTTTCCGATTTTTCATTTATCGTTTTTTTCAATTTGTTAGTTTTAGATTTTTAAATTTCTTTCATTTTTAGTAAGTACTAGCACCACCCATCCAGCCTTTATTTTCTTAGAACAATAAGTCTCATTTGCCAAAATCAGTATCATCTTGACAAGTACTAGCCCCGCCCACCCACCCTTATTTTCTTAGAGGATATGTCATTTGCAAAAATCATTTTGATACTTGCCAAGATAAGATTAATTTTGGCAGATGACCGACTCTTCTAAGAAACTAATGGGTGGGTGGGCGGGGCTAATACCTTTTCTTAGAAGAGTAGGTAATTTGTCAAAATGAGACTTATTTTAGTAAATACTAGCCTGGCCCACCCGCCTTATTTTTATTAGAGGGTAGGTTATTTGGCAAGTACGTACTACCATAGTGTAAAATTTCATTTTTGAAAAAGTTGTCTAAAAATTCTGAAAAATTTCAGAATATATCCCGACGGATTTTTTGAAATTTTTGAAAATTGCGATATTTCAATGGACGATTTTGAAAAAACGGTTTAAGTTATCGAAGAAATGAAGCCAGAAGTGACTTCTGCGGTCCAAAATCTACATGGAAGTATTTAGTTAAATTTCGAAAATCGTCAAAAATAGGTCGAAATTTGCTAATAGTTGTCAAATAAACTACCCTCTAAGAAAATAAAAGGCGTGTGGACCAGGCTAGTATTTGCCAAAATAAGACTCATTTTGGCAGATGACCTACTCTTCTAAGAAAAGGTACTAGCCCCGCCCGCCCACCCTTTATTTTCTTAGAACAGTGGGTCATCTGCCAATATCAGTCTTATCTTCACAAGTACTAGCCCCGCCCACCCACCCTTATTTTCTGAGAGGATATGTCATTTGCATAAATCAGTCTCATAAAACATAGTTAAAAAATCGAAAAATGACAAATCGTGAAAAGGAAGAATTTTAATTTGAAAACTTGAAAACTTAAAAATCAAAAAATTCCAAAATTGTAAAGGTAAAAGTTGAAAAATCAGAAGATTGGAATTAAAAACTGCTGAAATACTTAGAAGTTGAAAAATCTAAAAACTAATAAAAAAATGAAAACTAGAATTTCGAATTCGATTTTATACGATTTGTTTTTTTTTCAATTTTTAGATATTTCGTTTTTGATTTTTGGATTAAACAGTTGTACAATTTTTCGATTTCTCATTTATCCGATTTTTCAATTGTCATTTTTAGATTTTTAAGTTTTTTTTTATTTTTCGCAAGTACTAGCCCCAGCCACCCAGCCTTTATTTTCTTAGAAGAATAAGTCGTCTGCCAAAATCCGTCTTATTTCAACAAGTAGTAGCTCCGCCCACCCACCCTTTATTTCTTAGAAAAGGTGGTCATCTGCCAAAATCCGTCTTATCTTAACAAGTACTAGCCCCGCCCACCCACCCTTATTTTCTTGGAGGATATGTCACTTGCAAAAATCAGTCTCGTACTTGTTTAGTTAAAAAATAAAAAAATGACATATCGTGAAAAGGAAAAATTTTAACTTGTGAACTTGAAAAATTAAAAATAAAAAAATCCGAAAATTGTAAAGTTGAAACTTGAAAAATCAAAAGATTTGGAATTAAAAACTACAAAATTGTCAAACAAATTATCAAATGAAATATTTAAACGTTGAAATATATAAAAACTAAAAAAAAAATGAAAACTGGAATTTCAAATTCGATTTTATAAGATTTGTTTTTTTTTTTCAATTTTTCGGTATTTTATTTTTTGATTTTCCGATTATACAGTTGTACAATTTTCCGATTTCTCATTTATCCGATTTTTCAATTCGTCATTTTTAGATTTTTCATTTTTTTTTATTTTTAGCAAGTACTAGCCCCACCCAGCCTTTATTTTCTTAGAAGAATAAGTCATCTGCCAAAACTAGTCTTATATTGGCAAGTACTAGTCCCCCGCCCACCCTCCCTTATTTTCTTAGAGGATATGTCATCTGCCAAAATCAGTCTTATCTTGACAAGTACTAACCCCGCCCCCCCACCCTTATTTTCTTAGAGGATATTTTTTATTTTTTTTTTTTTTATTTTAATAATTACTTTTCCAACAGGCCGAGAGGCCCAATTACAGGAAAAGGGGACATACAAAAACACCCAGAGACAGAGCGGGAATCGAACCCACGACCCAAGGTGTAGTGGGCAGATGTCAAGCCACCTCACCCACCGGGTCCTGCATATTTGCATAAATCAGTTTCATACTTGCCAAGATAAGATTGATTTTGGCAGATGACTGACTTTTCTAAGAAAATAAAGGGTGGGTGGGTGGGGCTAGCACCTTTTCTTACAAGAGTAGGTCATTTGTCAAAATGAGTCTTATTTTGGTAAATACTAGCCTGGCCCACCCGCTTTTTATTTTCTTAAAGGGTAGGTTATTTGGCAAGTAGGTACGTACTACCATAGTGTAAAATTTTATTTTTGAAAAAGTTGTCTAAAAATTCTGAAACAATTCAGGGATATAGATCCCGACGTGCTGACTCCAAAAATATAGCATGCTTATGGTAACGGAGCAATATTTTCGGAAAATTCGGTGTGAAATTCGAATTTTTTGAAATTTTTGAAAATTGCGATATTTCAATAGACGATTCTGAAAAAACGGTTTAAGTTATCGAAGAAATGAAACCGGAAGTGGCTTCTGCGACCCAAAATCTACATGGAAGTATATAGCTAAATTTCGAAAATCGTCGAGAATGGGTCGAAATTTGCATACGAATACATAATGGGAAATTTCATTTTTGAAAATGTCATCTAAAAATTCTGATTAAATTCAAGGATATCTATTATCCATTGTTGGTTAAGAATACTTTATTTCTGTTTAATAAAATTAAGGTTTATTTCTTGAAATTTGTTTTCAGCAGTTTATGAAGTTGTTATTCAATTCCCTTTTAGTTTTTGGGAAATTCGCTGATCCGAACAAATCGCTAATCCCAACACACCTTTCCCCAATTAATTCGGATTATCGAGGTTATACTGTATTTGGAATATTTTCACAAATTCGGTAAAATGTTTAGAATTTCTAGAATTGAGTAAATTTTTGAAATTTCCAAAAGTTCCAGATTTTCTAAAATTAATAGGCCCCAAGGGTCTTTAAATTTTTAGAATCTCCGAGATGTATAAGATAATAATTAGGCTGTTCAAGACCCCTAATACTTGTAGGATTTATAAAAATTAAAGTGAACATTCTTCAGATTTTTACAATTTTTAGATTTTTAGGATTTTTGTTTTGTTTAGACTCTTTGGAAACTTTAAAATTTTTGGCATGTTAAGGGTTCATGCGTTTTTTTTTTTAGAAATTATAGAATCTTTGAAATATTTGGCACCGAATTTTACAAACCTTTTTAACGTTGCAGTCCTTAGAGTATTTAGAATCTTTAGAGTTTTCAGAGTCCTTAACAATCTTTAGAAATTTTGGATACTCCAGAATTATTAGTTAAGAACCTAAAACTTTAGTTTATTTAGCATTTTTGGTGTCTTTACAATTCGCAACTTCTAGTGTAAGAAAACTTTAAAAGTTTTAGAACGTATGTTAGTCTTTTGAATTTTTGAAAGGTATGGAACCTTTCTTAAGATTGTGTAAACTTTTGAAATTTTGAGATTTAATATTTTTTATTTTCCGTGTGAATTTTCGTAATTTGCAAAATTTTCAAAATTTCTAGATTGTTCACTTTCCAGATTAGCCTAATTTCTCAGATTTTCCGAAGTACACAAAATTACCACCATTTCTATATTTTCCAAAATTTCTAAAATTATCAGGCTCCAGTTATACCAGAATTTTGAAATTCAACCTTCTCCAATATTTTCAAGATTTCTAGGTCTACCACTTGTTTCCCACACTTTTTAAATTTTTTCAGATTTTGTGAAATTTATAGGTCTCAAGAATCATTTTTCCGATCTTTACGATTTTTAGGTCTTTAAGATTTTTGTTTTCTTTAGAGTCCTTCTCTTTCTCTGTTTGAAACAAAATTTTAGCTTTTGATCCTTTAGAGTCCTTAGAGTGTTTAGGCCCTTTAGAGGCTTTAAAATCTTTAGTCTTTAGACTCTAGTCTTTCCAATCTATGGAAATTTTGAACACTTTCAAATAAAAATTATTTTCAAAGGTAACTATGTCATCTTTCTTTTTTTTATTTGGGTCCATGTCACATTATATTTACCCTCATCATCGGAATCTTAATCTTCTCTCAAGTCACTGCTTTCTCGTTAACCGCGACCTTTCTAATCCCATCAATTGTCGTTCTGAGATTAACGCCAACTACAAATTATAACGTCACTAACAGAGTTTCTAAGTGGTCGCCAGTCTGGACTCAAAATAGAAATATCAATTTATAACCCGTGTGTGGTAACGTATATTTTTCTGCTCGGATAAAACCAAATTGGTTTATCTAATGTAATACGGATTCAGAGGCTCCAATTCAGTATAAAATCGGATTTCGCCAACCGGCGATTTCCACTAACTTATTGAATTAATCGCTTAAATAGTGTATTTGTATTTTTACATTTTTATGTTTTTCTGGTGACTCCCACTCCGTTAGGTCCAACAAGACAACAAAAGCTTTCGTAAGCACTCAATTATTTTAATAGCTACATTTCCGCTCCATGTAGCAGCCAAAATTTGCGATTCAGATCGTGCTTCTAGTTATCATAAACTTGTATAATCCCGACAAACTGCCTTCATAACGCCACCCCTAAAAAATTACTTGTAAATCAGAGTATATCAATTTCTTTTCAGCGCCTGACTGAACAACATTAGAACCCACTAAAGTTACCATGAAAGGAAAATCCCGAGTGAAAAATGATACAGAGGCCCCATTTCCGAGCGCCCGAACTAAGGTATCCCAAATTGCTTTCATTCAAACTTCCAACTTTATTAAGAATTTCAACACCGCTCCAAGCACACACAACTATTTAACTAGTGTAATTATCTTACCTCTTCGGGACTTTCAGCAGTGGCGCTCATTCTCGCATTAAAACTTTCCTGGACGGGATTATTCATTGACCGTGTTTGTTACACTGAGCGCTTTTGGTCGCTTTGATCCATTGTGGTCGTTATTATTATCCCCGAAAATTTTTAACACGCAATATGAATCACTTAAACCGCCGTAATTGCAGTCTATTGTCACTGCGTTACATCAGTGTTTTATTACTTTTTAAATGGCACTGGTGTTTCGGGCACGAACGGACTCGCTTTGTTCGATCCGAGTTTGTGGCTAAAGCAACAGTTGTTTCGCGAATATCCCCAACGGTTCTCGTAACTTTTGATTCCGGCTACAGCTGTACGGTTATGACCTTATCCTTTGGCCAAATTGCTGCAACTGGCGCGAAAATTACAGGACTTGGGAGGGAGCGCATGTGCGGAACATCCTGTATTGTCCGATCTTTTCAACTTTTCACGCGATAAATTGCGCTTTCGTGGAGTAAATTAGGACGAATGGATTATCCTTGAACAAGGGGCTATTCTAAATTGTTTGAAATAGAATATTATTGGGGTGATTTTCCAGGAAATATTTGTTGAATAATTTTCTGAATTGATACGCGAAGTTAGGAAGGCGTGGATTACACGTGAATAATTTTGTATATTTCTTTTATTACTTTTGAGGTAATAAAAAGAATGAGAAGACTGGGTAAAGGCGGAGCGCTCTTTAAATATTAGGCACAGAAATTTAATTTAATCACGTACAATTTCCTTCTAGTGATCGTGAATTCCGGATGTTCAACCGGATAAAATTACTAAACAAATCCGCCTGCTGCAGCAGGAAAGAGATTTTATTCTGTGTGCATATCAGCAACATTTATTGTTACATCGAGCTTTTGATTCGCAAAATATGGTCCCGGAGCAAGATTTTAGAAATATCCGGTTTGAAATTCTTATTTTTGCTTTCTGAGTAGTTTTGTCGACGTTTCATGCCCTCTAGAGTACGAAAAAAGTGGTCTCCCGTTTCCGTCTGTCTGTCTGCTGTTTGTATCAATTTACATAATAATCTCCCAAACTGTTGGACCGATTGTTGTAAAATTTTGTGTGTGTCATTCCATTTTCCCGGAAATCTGATTTTATTTATTTTCGATCATATTTTTTGATATCAATATTTTGATATTTCAATTTTGAAAATTTTTCAATTTCTGTATTTTTCAATGTTTCCGTATTTCACTGTTGGGATTTTCCAATTTTTAGATGTATTGATTTTAAAATTTTTCAGTCATTAGTCTCTTCAATTTTTTTATTTTTCAATTTTTGGCGCCTAAATTTCCATCGATTTCGCAATTTCTCGATCAATCGATTTATTTGTTTTCTCATTTCTCGATTTTTCGAATTTCCAATGTTTCGAATTTTCAGGTTTTCGATTTTTTAAAATTGCGATTTTTGATTTCTCAATTTTGGATATTTCCGTTTTGGGATTTTTCAATTGTTGGTTTGCATTTTTTAATTTTTCATTATTTCAATATTAGAGTTTTCAAATTCTTAATGAATCGGTTTCTCAATCTCTCGTTTTTTCGACTTCCCGGATTTTCGATTTTTAATTTTTAGATTTTTGAATTTTTCGATTTTTTTAATTCTGAATTTTTCAATTTTTCCTTTAATTTTTCGATTTTTAGAATTTGTCCACTTCGATTTCTCAATTTTTCCAATTTCGATTTCTCGGATTTCCGCAATGCCCGAATTTTTCGTCATTTGAATTTTGGAATTTGAAAAGTTTCTCAACTTTAAAACATTAGATTTTTCAATTTTTCGTTTTTTGATTTTTGAAAGTTTTAATTTTATCCTTTTTCGATTTTTGATTTCTCAATTTTATAATTTTGCAATTTTTCCATTTTTTTATTCGAAAACACTATTCAGGGATGTAGATCTCGACTTGCTGATTCCAAAAATATAGAATGTTTAGGGTCACGGAGCAAAATTTTCGCTAGAATCGGTAAAAAATGCAAATTTTTGAAGATTTCTAAAAATTTCGAAATTTCAATTGTCGATTCTGAGAAAACGGTTGCAGCTATCAAAGAAATAAGGCCGAAAGTGAGTTCTGGAGCTCGAAATCTACAAGAAAATGTATTTAGTTGTGTTTCGAAAATGTCAAAATTTCGCCGAAATTTGAAGAAGGGGGGACCATTGGAAAATTTTCACTTTTAAAAACGTCTAATAATTCTAAACAAAATCAGGGATATAGATCTCCACTTGCTGATTCCAAAAATATAGAATGTTTAGGGTCACCGAGCCAAATTTTCGCTAGAATCGGTAAGAAATGCGAATTTTTGAAGATTTCTAAAAATTTCGAAATTTCAATTGTCGATTCTGAGAAAACGGTTGCAACTATCAAAGAAACGAGGCCGGAAGTGAGTTCTGGAGCTCGAAATCTACAAGAAAATGTTTTTAGTTGAGTTTCGAAAATGTTAAAATTTGGCCGAAATTTGAAGAAGAAAAAATTTCACTTTTAAAAAAGTCGTCTAAAAATTCTGAAATAATTCAGGGATATAGATCTCGACTTGCTGATTCCAAAAATATAGAATTTTTGCTGTCACGGAGCCAAATTTTCGCTAGAATCAGTAAGAAATGCGAATTTTTGAAGATTTCCAAAAATTTCGAAATTTCAATTGTCGATTCTGAGAAAACTTTTGCAACTATCAAAGAAACGAGGCCGGAAGTGAGTTCTGGAGCTCGAAATCAACAAGAAAATGTATTTAGTTGAGTTTCGAAAATGTCAAACTTTGGCCGAAATTTGAAGAAGGGGAGACCATTGGAAAAATTTCACTTTTAAAAAAGTCGTCTAAAAATTCTGAAAGAATTCAGGGATGTAGATCTCGACTTGCTGATTCCAAAAATATAGAATGTTTAGGGTCACGTAGCAAAATTTTCGCTAGAATCGGTAAGAAATGCGAAATTTTGAAGATTTCTAAAAATTTCGAAACTTCCGTTGTCGATTCTGAGAAAACGGTTGCAGTCATCAAAGAAACGAGGCTGGAAGCGAGTTCTAGAGCTCGAAATCTACAAGAAAATGTATTTAGTTGAGTTTCGAAAATGTCAAAATTTGGCCGAAATTCGAAGAAGGGGGGACCATTGGAAAAATTTCACTTTTAAAAAAGTCGTCTAAAAATTCTGAAAAAATTCAGGGATGTAGATCTCGAATTGCTGATTCCAAAAATATAGAATGTTTAGGGTCACGTAGCAAAATTTTCGCTAGAATCGGTAAGAAATGCGATTTTTTGAAGATTTCTAAAAATTTCGAAATTTCAATTGCCGATTCTGAGAAATCGGTTGCAGCTATCAAAGAAACGAGGCCGGAAGTGAGTTTTGGAGCTCGAAATCTACAAGAAAATGTGTTTAGTTGAATTTCGAAAATGTCAAAAATTGGCCGAAATTTGAAGAATTTCACTTTTAAAAAAGTCGTCTAAAAATTTTGAAAAAATTCAGGGATTTAGATCTCGACTTGCTGATTCCAAAAATATAAAATGTTTAGGGTCACGGAGCAAAATTTTCTCTAGAATCAGTAAGAAATGCGAATTTTTGAAGATTTCTAGAAATTTCGAAATTTCAATTGTCGATTCCGAGAAAACGGTTGCAGCTAACCTAAACGAAAAATTACAAAGCGAAAATTTGAAGAAATGAAAATTTAAAAATCGATAAATTTCAAAATCAAAATTATAAAGTCGAAAAACTGTAACATTGAAAAAAGTTTAAAAATCCAGTAATTGAAATATGGAAAATGTCTAAAAACGTAAATTCACATCTCACATTGAGAAATGGAAAAATTATAGATTCAGAACATTGAAAAACCGGAAAATTGAAAAAGTAAAGAAAATAAACAAAAATAAATTCGAAAAATTGAAAAATTAAAAATTGAAAACTCGAAGAAATTGAATAAACAAAAAATTATAAAATTGGAACATTGAAAAGTTGTAAAACTGTAGAAATAAAGAAAATATGAAACCTAAACGAAAAATTGCAAACCGAAAATTTGAAGAAGTGAAAATTTAAAAATCGAAAATTTCAAAATCGAAAAGTGAATTGAAGAAGTGAAAAAACGTAAAATTGAAACAATGAAAAACTAAACATCGAAAAAATTAATGAATCGAATAATTGGAAAGAAGAAAATGCGAACCGAATCAAAAGCATGGAAAATTCAAAATACGTAAAATCTGAAAAATTATAGAATTATCAAAATTATCAAGTCGAAAAACAGTAACATTGAAAAATCGAAAAATTAAAATATTAAATATCCAAAAATTCAAAAGTTGGAAAAATTAAATATATAGTTTTAAAATCCAGTAACTGAACAATGGAAAAATTCTAAAAACGTAAAACTGAAAATGTGAAAACAATTTTTAAAATTATTTATATTTCATAAAAAATGAAAACTAAAATAAATTGCAAATCGAAGTATTAAAGAAAGTAAAAATTGAAATTGAAAAATCGAAAAGTGAATCAAAATTATAAAGTGGGAAAACTGTAACATTGAAAGAAGTTTTAAAATCTAATAACTGAAATATGGAAAAGTTCTAAAAACGTAAATTCACATCTCAAATTGAGAAATAAAAAATTATAGACTCAGAACATTAAAAAAACGAAAAATTGAAAAAGTAAAGAAAATAAACAAAAATAAATTCGCAAAATTTAAAACTCATGAAACGGCAAACGGGAAATTGTTAAATCTAAAAATTGAAACATTCAAAAGTTATGAAATCGAAAAATTGGAAAATTTAAAATTGAAAATTCGAAGTAATTGAATACACAAAAAATTATAAAAATGGAACATTGAAAAATTACAAAATCGAAAAGTTAATTGAAGAAGTGAAAGAACGAAACACTGAAACAGTCAAAAACTAAAAATCGAAAAAATTAATGAATTGAATAATTGGAAAGAAGAAAAAGCGAATCGTATCGAAAACTTGGAAAATTCAAAAATGTAAAATCGGAAAAATTATAGAATCATCAAAATTATAAATTCGAAAAACTGTAAAATCGAAAGATCGAACCCAGTAACTGAAAAGTTGAAAGATTTTAAAAACGTAAAATTGAAAAATTGAAATTTTTTTTTTAAAAGTATTAATATTTCTTAAAAAATAAAAACTAAAAAACCTCAAACTGAGAAAAACACAAATTATAGACTCAGAACATTGAAAACCCGAAAAATTGACAAAATAAAGAAAATAAAATAAAAAAATTGAAACATTAAAAATTGAAAACTCAAACTATAAACGTGAAATTGCTAAATTTACAAATTGAAGAATTTTAAAATGAAGACATGAAGAACTGCATGTTGTGAAAACTGAAAAGATAGAAAAATATGAAAACTTGAGAAATTGCAAATCGA